TTCAAAACAAACAAACAATCACTGTGATATGTTAGGAATTCCAAACTGATAGGTGGATAGAAAGATAGGTAGTTGGATGGATAGAAAGATAGAGATATAGTATTTTATTTGTTCATTCGCCTGATATATGCTAGTGGTATACCTGATTACATCGTGCTTGAAACAACAAAAACTCATAACTCGTTACTATCCATTAGAGTTGAAGAAATAGAAGAAACTAGCCAAGAAAAACAAGCTCCAATGTTTGTCATGAAACCAGAACCACAAAATGTGCTGGAAGGTGACTGGGCCAAGTTCCAATGTCGTGTTACCGGAAATCCTAAGCCTCGTCTCATGTGGGTTGTTAACGGCCAAACCATAGTCACAGTAAGTGCCTGTATTTTATTTTAAAGAAATATTAAAAAACAAAAATAACTATATATATTGTCATTGGTAGAGTGCAGTTCTGTTTGGTATTTTCTCAGGGTTTGAGTGGTTCTCTTTAAAATCTAATTGACTGTTAAATATACCTGTTATTAACACGTAAAATAGGCTAAAGAAAATAATTATAACCCAATAAATAAGGTGGAGGACAGTTAAAATGAGTGTTGCTAGAGTTGAGTTTAAAAAGTATTTTTACCTCCAAATTGGTTTATTCAGAGTTGAAAGATTGAAAAAAAAGTGCTTTAAATTGATTTGTTCTTCATAAAGATAAAATACATAATAAAATTAATATGTTAAATTAATATAACATTGGTTCCTATTTTAACTTTCGACAAAAGGGGTAGTTTCACATAAAATACTTAAGAAATAAGTAATAAATATATGTAAACTGGATCTTTATTCAACAAAAACTAACACCTTTATGTTCAATATTCTAAACTAATGTGGCAAATCAACATTGGTTCCTATTTTAACTTTCGACAAAAGGGGTAGTTTCACATAAAATACTTAAGAAATAAGTAATAAATATATGTAAACTGGATCTTTATTCAACAAAAACTAACACCTTTATGTTCAATATTCTGAACTAATGTGGGTTTACAGTTTCATCTTTTTTTTCTCTTTTTTTTTACAAAAAAAAGTCATTGATCAGTTACTGAATAATATAGGTATTAGTTACAAACAACTGTTGTCTTTACTTTGTGGTGGCTTCACAATAGTCCTTCTTAGAAAGTATTTTCTCAGCGGTTTTCATCATTATTATTATACATTACGATTTTGGAAGGGATCACAATATTGTTTTTTGTTGTTTTCTCCACTTCAGGGTTCTCGTTACAAACTGACATATGATGGTATTTTTCACCTGGATATCCCTAAAGTAAGACAATACGACCAAGGAAAAGTTGAAGTGTATGCTCGAAACTTATTGGGTGAAGCTTATTGTTGGACAACACTGGAGGTTCGTCCTCGTCGTGACGACTATCGAGCCGTATTGAAACATTCACCAAGACGTAAGTTTTGCGTTTTAAATATTACTTATTCTTAGGCATAAAAGTTGTGATTAAACATTACTGATTCTTAAGCCTTAAAGTTGTGATTAAACATTACTGATTCTTAAGCCTTAAAGTTGTGAGTAAAAAATCCTTTATATCTGCACTGTCTGTAACTAAAATGAACAATAATAGTGAGGTTTAAAATATTTCCATTTCCTAATTAGCTTTATCAAAACTAAGAAATTGAAATATTGTGCTAATTTTTTAATTTTTATATTGGTATTTTATATTTTTGTATCTGCAGTTTGCATGAATTTTGTCACAACTGTTAGGCATATTGGTTTCTAATGCTTCGTTAGCTTTCAGCGCTTAAGCCACAATTATAAATTCCCTAGTACTTTCGTTAATTGTTAATTATTTAAGTTTATAAGTAAATATGCTTAGTTGTAGATAAACCTAAATTAAACATTGATGAGATAAAAATTAGACGAGTAAACTTAGACCACAAATACATAGCTTTTGGGATTTAAGTGATAAATTTAAACTAGTTTTGGTTTCTGATATTGTTAACTAATCCAGTTTACAAATGGGAAATCTCATTATAGCAGAAGAGAAATATTTTTATAGACAATATTCGACGATTAGTTTAACAGTGTTTTTTTTTTTTTATCAAATTCGCTTTGGATTCAATTGTTTGGTTTTAAGACCCACATTTAGAAAGCTTTGGGTAGTTGAAAAGAGTCTAACTTGTAAATAAATACAATTGTAATTCGTTATCAAAAATAAAACTAGAAAAACTGAAAATAAATAAAGTGGTTTAATTCAAGTGGTCTTTATCAGCTTATTCATAGTTTAAACTTATTATAATCAAATATTTCATACTCGCCAGAAGTGATGGTAAATTTGGGATAACCTTATTAATGTTAAATTTTGGACAAAAATATTGTAAAGATCTTTGATGTTCACTCAGTTATAATTAGATCACACATATGTTTCTACAAATTAGTAAAATAGTTCTAAATATGTAATTCAATTAAATATTGGACTATTGAACAGCCCTTAATTATAATCAATAATGTAGCTCAAGCAAGAAATCTTTTATAATGTATTTGTAATCAGAGTAGAAGGTTTCATGACTCCTGGGTAGACAGAAAGTTTGATATTAAACATTGAGCACCTACGGTTATCTTGTATTGTAGTTTCGTGTAACAAGATCCGTTAAGCTACCTACCCCTTAGATGTTGAATTGAATATAACAATAAGTAAGCCTATAATCTTATCTTTATTATAACCTTTCCTTCCGTTTACCTAGAAGGACGACATATCAAAAATTAATTTACAATACACGTTATACAATAGTCGATATTGTGAATGGACCTACAAAAATATTTTAAACGATTTCAATTTGTTAAAAGGTTTGAATATCTATACTTAGCGCATACGTTTATGTCCAACCTAATCGATTTAAATGGAAATCAAATTATATTAGTCTCGTTGTGATTTTTTTAAAACCAAAGTTCGTAAAAAAAAAAATACCGCTAAATCTCTCAGACACTGCGGAGAGATTGGACAAAACACTGCTGTGTTTTTTAATTACTCCATTATTTAGAACACTATTGGTGATAAAACGCATTTAAACTTCATTCGAGTGACACAATTATTTTAAATTATTCGTTGTTTATATTAAAAACTTAAGTAATTTTTAGTCACTTCGTCTAAAATACTTGTGTCTAATACTTGTACATGAAATTGAGATCAATGTTTCACCTAGGAATTTTATTTCAAATATTTACCCCTGAAGAATACCCAATATTTAAATACTTCTTACTTGTTTTCTTAATGTTTCACAAACAGCATGGTATGATTCGGAAGTTAAAACATACCAACAATATCGACATGAAACCGAACTTCAGCGTGTATTTGAAGAAAAGCTGACCCCTGGTGGAACAAAAGTTGATGTTTGGCAGACTCAAGAAGCTGAAGGTAACCCATTTATTTTGGGACATGTAACGTTATGTTGTAGACTATATATATATAACCATTTTAATGTTTTGTTTATTAGAATACGTGATGTAAGGTCTAGAAGTTTCGTGAAAGTTTAGGCCTCTTTGGAATCTCGAAGCTTTCTGAAGTACGTAGATAACTAGTACAATATAAAATTGCTACACTGAGTGGGTCATGCTAATCAGCTCAGTGTTTGTTGGTGAGTTTGTTTGTCAATGGTCGAGTTATAAAGTTAGTCAGTCAACGTGTTTCTTACTTATCAATTAGTGACGACATTTTGCACGTAAGTGACGTGAATAATATTTGTTAGTAGTTCATTAGTTTCGGATTTTCTGTTGTTTATTGAGTAGGCTTCCCAACAAAGGTAGCCTGTAGTCTTTATAAAACGTCATTACAGAAGTTAATTAATTCGTTATCGTTAAGTAGACATTATTGTTATCGAATAATCCAAAAGCACATGCCCAACGATAACGTTTTCAACAACAGTTACTTAATAGAATAATTGTTCTGAAGTAATTTTGGGCGCTCGGAACGTGCAAAGGAGATTTTAATGTAAAATGTAGAATATCATGGATATCCTATTCTGATTACCCGAAAATTGTGCTGTTCTATATGTGTGTGGAAAATGAAAGTATGAAAACAAAAGTTATTATTTTGTTTCACTTTATGTATGTTTGTGTGTACAAGAGGTGTGTAAAAATATTATATTTTATAACATACATTATAAAGTTATTATAACTTATATCACACTCCATTTAACTGCAGTCCTGATCTGTCGCGCTCTATTATCAAACATGAAAAGTAAAATATGATAATTTACACATGTGTTTAATGATTTTTATACGTTTATTTTATAATTTTTATTGTCACACTGTTTCGTTTTCATACATGTCTGTAAGTAATTTCTAGATACGACATAATGAAGAGTTAACCAGTGCACCATGTTTACACTTGTCATGAAATAATTTCTTGTTTGTTATTTACAAGATTACCTGTTTTTGTGACACACAAAATCGCCAGAATCGAAAATTATATGTCTAAAATATAATACTTAGCTGCCAAGGTTCTCTCTGCTAAATGTTCTAATTCGTTCGTTTTAACAGCTGGAGAACGAATGCAAATTAAACAACGACTTGAAGAAGAGGACATCAAGAAACTGCAACCTGAAGTCAAACGCTACAAAACTGATGCAATTTATGTAAGTTCGTATAAAAAATGTGGTTCTGGCTTGGTGAAGTGATTATTTATTAAATGTGACACTTTGATACTGAACGAATTTCAATTTCTAATTATTCACCAAATCGTGGTTGCTTCTTTATTTACGCAAGTTTATTTAACCCATCTGCCATTATTAATGCTAGCTGAATCTATAAACTTGGAGCTATTAAAACAATATTCGGTTATTTCCTATCTGATACAACAAAATGATTTCTAAAAAGTTACAGATAAATTGAGTAGTAATAAACGTTTTTTGAATTTATTAAAAGTACATAAAGCTTGCGTCTCAAACAACGGTTGTTATTATGTCTCTTGATGTAATAATCTTAACAACATCATAGGTGGACAGTGTGACTGGGGAAAAGCGGGTAGAAGAACAATCCCAAGTGAGTCACATGGCAAAATCTTACCGTGAAAAAGTGTAAGTTTCTTTCATCCATTTTCTTTCATTTCTATAAAATCATCTCGCTTCAGATATCCCAGTGTTATTTTACTTTATTTTTTTAATAGATTAACTTGTATTCTATTCCGATTAAAATCAAACTTGTCTTCTTATCGAAGCTTTTAATATAAGATAATGGTCTCAAAGTCTGAACTCGCTTCATGTTGATGGAATAAGAAATACATAACTGAATTCATTGTTTTGTAAAGAGTGGTAGTATAAAACCCGTAGGTCTATATATTCCGGGGCCTCGCGTGGCCTGATGGTTAGGACGCTCGATTCACAGTCTGAGGGTTGCTGGTTCGAATCCCCATTCCCGAACATGCTCGTCCTTTCAGCCGTGAGAGCGTTATAATGTGACAGTCAATCCCACTATTCATTTGTAAAAGAGTAACCTAAGGGTTGACTGTGGGTGGTGTTGACTAGTTGCCTTTCCTCTAGTTTATCACTGCTACATTAGGGACGGCTAGCGCATATAGCCCTTGAACAGCTTTCACGACAAACCAAATCAAGCTATATATTCCAGAAAGCAAGCCACAGAAATCCTTGGTATTAAATACTCATGAGAATATGAACAAAGATCCAAGGGAACTAGATTCATCCTGCTTTCAATTTTGTGAAAGGTTTAAAGAAGTGTGGGCTTTTAAACCTAGAAACCAATAATAACAAATTAAATGTATATGCCATCATACGACAGATTTTAAACTGTACTAGTATATGCTAAAGTTCGAGAGATCATACATAGATATATCATATTTCTAACAATCGTAACATTTATAGATAAAACCTTACCAAGAGCTGAATACAATCTTCTTTGCTTCACTCGTCACTAAACAATAATAACCTGTGTCAAGCCAGCAATGATGTAAAGTGATCTTAGGCACTCTAAAATACGCAACCAATAAGAAATCAAAAGTTTGATGACACCAAACTTTTACCGTCGTGCGTATCGTGAAACATGGTAGTGGTTCATAATAGGTGTCGCAAGGAATTGCACAAAACCCTAATAGAACGTTCTGGCAAAAAGCACGTTAAACAGTAAAGATTCAGTTCAAACAACACTTGAAAACATTTACTATTGACTGCTAAAGCTGTACACGTATAAAAATGCACAAAAAACCACGCATGTTAAACTTAAAAGGAAAAGAAAATTCGCTTAAAGTGGCTGTTTGTAATTCTTCTTCTTATTATTATTATCTTGCCAGCTTACAACAAAAACGGTTTGGTATACTGCACCTAAACCTTTTGTATAATACTAAATAAGGTACTACGAAGGTCGTAAGGGTATTGAAAGGTCGATTTGTTTCTATATTTTACATAAGCTAAAAAACATGTAAGCTAATGTAATTCTAGGTAACAGCATGGAGCCAAAATAGGGGTTTGTGGTTTGAGTGAATAACGTCTACCGTATCTCCAGCATTGTTTCCTTACTTTTTTTACGATCCCTATTTTCAGGTTTTTAAATTCCCAATTTTTTATCTATATTGTAATATACGATAGTGCATAACGTTTTCGTGTGGTTTCAGTTTTTATTTCTAAAGGATGTTGCTATAACGTTTACAGAGAACAACAAAACTTGCCCTCACCGACATCTCCAGAAAGTATAGTACATGGGAAAGAAGTCCATGTTGCTCGTCAGAAACAAACTCAATACGAAACTAAGGGAGATTTGGATATAACTCGTCATACTACATTAACTGAAACTATGGAACAAGAGCACATGGGAAAGACAAAAGAAAGAAGGATTGTTGGTGAAGTGGTAAGAAGTTAGATGTTTTTTTATATCTTTGTGATCCCTATATAAATTTGGAGAACAACTATATTTTTCTGCAATTGGAACATTGCTAAAATGTCTGACTGCATGATATCGTAAAGTATTATTGTCCCCAAAATTCATGTTGTTCATGATTTAATCCATACAAAATTTAAACCTATAATGAACTACTTTGAAGTTGTAAGATAAAACAAAGAATATCCTGAAAGTTACAGTTGAAACACCAAAAGCTGGGAAAGCAGTAGAACATAAAACATATTGTAGAAATCATGTGAAATACATTTACTTTACATTCCTCTTAAAAGTTTCTTTTATATATATATACGCAGTATAGGAATTTAAAGTCTGCGGTTTAAAACCGAAACATTAGAAACTCAATTAAGAGGAATATCGAAAAAACAACATCTACAATTTACGTGATATTATCACAAGTTTTAATCGTATTATATTATGTTTTTTTTCCTGGTGGGTAAGCGGTAAGTCTGATGGCCTATAACGATAAAAACAGGGTTCAATACCCGCGATGGGCATGGCGTAAATTGCCCATTGTGTAGTTTTGTGCTTAACAACAAACAAATCTATTCCTTGTAAATAACAAAACGTTCTGTGCAACTAGCACACCAGTTCTGACATTTAACTCATTTGGTTCTGAAAGATTATTACAAAGACAAGAACGCCATTCGAAATTCTATACTTAATGTAATATCAAACGAATTATTATTCTATAAATTCACGAGGCGTTCGTTATTTATCTTGTAGCCCAAGACCATATCCCCAGTTTTTACAAAGAAAATTCAACCGTGTCGAGCTTACGAAGGTGAATCTGCCAAGTTTGAGTGTCTGTTCACTGGAGTCCCAGCACCAACAATCACGTGGTACAGAGAGAATTTTCCAATCACTCCTTCAGATGACTTTCAGGTCTGTATAAAAGTGTATAATATAAGTGAAAAATTTATTTTACTGTATATTTGATACTAAATACCTTAACATATTCACATATGAAAAAACTCATTATATGGCTTTGTTCTTAAGAACAAACAAACAAAAACCGTATTTAAAGGCATTTTATGTTAAAATAGGATATTATATTTCCCCTATTTACTTATTTGGCAGTAATGATTTCGTATATATATATACACACACACGCATATATATATATATATGTATGTGTGTGTGTGTGTGTGAGTGTGTAATCTAAATCTTTTAACTCATTTATAAAATGCGGTATATTCTTAGGTTGTAAGTAGGCCTAATATGTCGATACTGGTGATCAGAGAAGTATACGTAGAAGACAGTGGAATGTTTACTGTGAAGGCCGAAAATAGAGGAGGATCGGCTAAAAGTTCTGCTAATCTACTTGTTGAAGGTTAGTTTTTGTAGTTTGTAAATAAAAGTTCTGCTAATCTACTTGTTGAAAGTTAGTTTTTGTAGTTTGTGGCTAAAAGTTCAGCTAATCTACTTGTTGAAGGCTAGTTTTGTAGTTTGTGGCTAAAAGTTCTACTAATCTACTTGTTGAAGGTTAGTTTTTGTAGTTTGTGAATAAAAGTTCTGCTAATCTACTTGTTGAAGGTTAGTTTTTAGTAGTTTGTAAATAAAAGTTCTAGCTAATCTACTTGTTGAAAGGCTAGTTTTTGTAGCTTGTGGCTAAAAGTTCAGCTAATCTACTTGTTGAAGGCTAGTTTTTGTAGCTTGTGGCTAAAAGTTCTGCTAATCTACTTGTTGAAGGCTAGTTTTTGTAGCTTGTGGTGTCTTGGAATGATCTGAAAGATTTAACCGATATTCCTATATGGAATCATATATATACTTCATTCAAGGTAGTTTCAGAAGTTCTATAGAAGTATTTACTCAAGATATTTCCTCCATAAAGCACTGTTTTTCTTTTTTAAATTAATCTTTATCTGTATTATGTAGTGAAATTTCTTTTTATCGTATTTTTAAGAAAATATATTTGTATCAAAATCTGCACGCTCTCTTTCTCAAAGTATTCCTTCCAATAAAGTTCAAATTCACACTAACTAAGGAAACTAGTTTCGACGTTTCACATGTCCTCTTCAGTCCAACATTTGTTTAGTATTATCCAGTTGGAATGGATTTAAACGTTATTGTAAATTACTTTACACGGTATTCTATATTTATCTATTCCTTCCAAGTTTGGAATTGTTTTTTATCTAAGTTATAAGAAGATTTTTTGAGTAAGTATATTTGATACAACTATAAATATCTAGGCTCAACCTCCTCATGTATGTTTCAGAAAAACGAGAACACAGAAGTGGAAAGATCCCACCAAGTTTCATTAAAACTATCCAAGGAAGCGCTGTTCAGGCAGGTCAACTTGTTCGTCTTGATGCCCGCCTGTCTGGTTCCAAACCTGTTGACGTCTATTGGTTGAAGGTAATTAAAACTACTTAATCTTTTTAAATTCGTTGATCATTTGAAGTTGATTAAGATATTCGACCACAAAAATATCAAAAAAGCCTATTAAATATGCTAGGAAAGTTTAATAACGTGTCATGATGTTTTAATAAATTGTGTAGAATTGGGGGTCGTTGATGTGGACGACCTGTTAGACACGGTAAAAATTTGAGAATAATTTTAGGTGTCTTGATTGGAATTGCGAAAACAAATCTGGGAATGTTGTTAGAAATAATATTTACCCCTGGTTTACTTCATCGAAACCTAGTCTAAGAACAAGCTCAATAGGTAACTTGCTCACATAAAAAAAGTCTTAACAGTTCACTACCTGCTAAATGTCTTTCAAATAAGTCTGAATTCCTGGTTGTTTTTCATACATTCAGAGTTGATTTTTTTATCCTGTTGAATCACCTTTTACTTCTGTTATAACTTTCTATCTTATCAGGTCTACTGTGTGAGCACGCTTGTTTTTCTATCTTATCAGGTCTACTGTGTGAGCACGCTTGTTTTTTCTATGTTATCGGGTATACCTGCACGAACACACTTGTTTTTCTATCTTATCAGGTCTACTGTGTGAGCACGCTTGTTTTTTCTATGTTATCGGGTATACCTGCACAAACACGCTTGTTTTTCTATCTTATCGGGTATACCTGTGCGAACACTCTTGTTTTTCTATCTTATCAGGTCTACTGCGCGAACACTCTTGTTTTTCTATCTTATCAGGTCTACTGCGCGAACACTCTTGTTTTTTCTGTGTTATCAGGTATACCTGTACGAACACTCTTGTTTTTCTATCTTATCGGGTATACCTGCGCGAACACTCTTGTTTTTCTATCTTATCAGGTATACCTGCACGAGCACTCTTGTTTTTTCTGTGTTATCAGGTATACCTGCATGAACACTCTTGTTTTTCTATCTTATCGGGTATACCTGCACGAACACTCTTGTTTTTCTGTGTTATCAGGTATACCTGCACGAGCACTCTTGTTTTTCTGTGTTATCAGGTATACCTGCATGAACACTCTTGTTTTTTATGTTATCACACATACCTGCATGAGCAATACTGTTTTCTTTCTATATAGAATGGCACTAAGCTGGTGCCTGATGCAACTCACAAGACATTAGAAGAAGGTGACATGTACACACTGATGTTGTTGGAGACGACCGCCGAACACAGTGGAATGTACGAATGTGTGGCCATTAACCAAGCTGGAGAAGCCCGCTGTCAGACTCAGGTTTTGGTTGAATGTAACTATCTGTCCCCAAATCTCTGTTTCCGTTTAATAAAACCTGTTTCAACGAGCGCTGAGAACCTAAAAACCTCCTATACATCAGCTAACGATTTTTGAGTAAATTTTTCAATCAATATCGCCATTCGCGATAGTGCAAATATATTATTATTATTATTATTATGGTATTATTTAGTGTTTACCAGATTAAACATTCAAAATCATATTAAGTAAGTAATATTTTATCCCCCTATATAGTTGTCAGGTTCTTCTATATGGCCCCAAGATAAGTTAGAAAATTACTTTTAAATATTGATATTTGAACATAAGTATTTCAAACCGACGGCATACCCATGGGTGGATCTGGACGTGTAACGGCAGACCAGTTAGCACCCAGGCCCACATAGTCAGACTCCTTGATGGTTCCCATGTCCGAATACATCACACAATGCGGTTTTTTTTAGATCCTTTTAACTTACCCCTAAAGGTTTGTACGTCTTCTGCCTGTCCATTGTATCTCCGAGCTCAGCCAAGGTTCCCCCGGTGGGACAGCGGCAAATTCACGGAGTTATCGCGCTAAAATCCGGAGTTCAATTCCAGCGGTAGGCACAACAGATAACCCAATGTAGCCTTGCTCTAAAACAAACAAACCCAATCAAAATTTCTTACCTGGCTGCTGTTGTAGGATGGTATTAAAGTTTCGTGGACCAATGGATTAACGTATCTATAAATGTACACAAATAAACACTTTAAGATCTGTATGTTTACAGAGAATGTTTAGGATAATTAATTATTTTTTTTTTAATCTGACGTGGTTAGTTATGAAATTTTATTCAATCAGTTTAAGCAACTGTTGTTAAACATACACAATGCTGAGGTAATCACATTCATCAAACAAATGTTTGAAAAATGAGTTGACGTTGATTAAAGTCAGTTAGAAAACGATCATTTCTATCAGAGATATTTGTTAAGATATTTGTTATAAATTCTATGGGTTTTATTTAATGTGATATGATATCTTACAGCTAAGTCCCCCCAGGCAACGCCCACGTCTCCTAAAGTACTGACCCAGGAGGCAAGAGCACCCGAGATTGTAAAACCACTGAAAGATGCCGTTGTAAAGGAGGGACAACCCGCAGTGTTTACTTGTAAGATCCTTGGATCTCCAGGTAAGATGCCTGTTTTATATGTACATTTCAACTGTTCGATTATGTTGCGTCATACTTTTGTGACATGTTTAAAAGAAAGATTGATATTGTGTAGTGCATTTTAACTGTACTTTCTACGGGTTTTTTTTTCAGCCCCCAGGGGGAAATGGTTCAAAGGGGACGCTCAAGTAAAACAGTCCAGGTACTTCCGAATGTCTGTAGAGAAAGACATTTACACTCTTCGTATCTCCGAGGCTTTCCCAGAAGATGAGGGTATCTACAAGTTTGTTGCAACCAACCCAAATGGAACAGTTACCACGAGCGCAAGCCTTAAGGTCAAAGGTTAGTAATAAATTCTAACCGTATCTGTAATATAATCAAAGAAGTCCTACAGTTGGCAGCTCTAAAATAACTCTGCAGATTACGTTTAATCTAGAGAATTGTGAAATATACAAAACGACTACATAATTTTATTAAAACTTTATATAAACTCTGACAAAAAATTCAGTTGCTTCAAGTGTTCTCAAACTCCGGTCGTAACTCAGCAGGATATCGCAGGATGATACAGAGCGGATCGCGAAGGAGTGAGAAAGACGAAAAATAACAG